TATCGCAGCCTGACTCTGTTATTGTGTTTGCTTTTCAAGGGGAGGGTTCCGTATTCCGTATACTGTATACCATATATTGTATTCCAGTATTCCGAGTTCCGAATTCCCAGCTCCCAGTTCCGAGTTCTGTGTATTTTTAGCTCTGTTTGCCAGCATCATCATCCAGAAACCCATGCGGGACGTTACTTCCTTCTGCCTGTCTGCATTTGGCTGGCTGCCTGCCTGCATTTGGCTGGAGCATTCACATTCATTGAATTGATTTAGATAAAATCACCGTGTGCCTGTGTCGTTTGTATATATTTTTGTTGATTGCGTAACGCCCTGGCGAATGCAACTTCATTATGCTGCCCCAAAATGCGGCACCGATTGGCGGCATTTGAATGGTGTGCCTGCCGGCTCATCATAGATACATTGAGGTGTTTTGCGGCACCCCACCTTCTCCTCCTCCCCAAAGATTTGAGGTTGACATCAAACGAGCATGTAAGTGTGGGCCGGGGATCGAGATTTATGAGATGCACTCCATGAGGCATATAAATCTCAATCTGGCACTGCAAATTGGGCGGTCTGGGGGCCTCGAAGGGCGTGCGATAAGACTTTAATGAGATTTGGGGGCTTCATTGACTCGTTCATCGTGTGATTAGAATTTATTGTTAATTTAGAAATAAATACATTTAATATTTCCAGTCATAAAAACTACAATTAAATCAAGGAGATTTTATAAACTAAGGTTATATTAAATTTGCAGATACCAATAAAGGTTTTTTGTTTTTGTTTAAAAGGCCATGGCACGTAAATAATGAAATATTTTTTATCCGCATTAACTTCTAAGTGACTTTATTAAGTAAATAATCCTCTGACCGTTGTTAATAACATGAGAGTTGAAACTTGTCCCTCCAGCAGAATACTAAACAATCAAATTATATTCCCCCTTATACATCTTTAGGTAAACGAGATTTCCATGAAAATCCTTGGAGAAATGGTGTTAATGAAATTAATTCCAAGTTTATAGAGTTCATTTTTGAGCTGACTTACCTAACAGGAATTACTTTAATTTTTTTTGGGAAATCAAAAACTTTTACTAGCCCATTGAGTGCCTTTTTGTTGAATCTCAGTGAGAAAGCCACTTTGAAAGGCTACTAGCTTTTGCTATGACCACACACAGAAGGGGATTTCATTTAGCCATAAACGTAATTTTTAATCCCACCCTGTGAAACCCACATAAGTGGGATATTGGAAGTTGGGGGCGACCTTTTATAACCTTCAAATGAACAGGCAGTTTTAGGGCCATATTCCTCAGCCAAATAACAATTTAATTATGAACACACTCGGGCTCTACCTCCGACTACTTCTTTTCTCCCCCTCCGAGTTCAAGGACAAATCATAGCCATAAAGCTTGTGTGTCCAGGAGCGACTGAGCCTTTTGCCTGTGGGATAAGCTAAGAGCTCATTAATGTCACATTCATGGCAACTCCGGGAAGGGCATAAAATGAGCAAAATTTCTATCAGAGTCTCCCCCGAACTGGGACCAAACTCCATTTAAATTGAGTGCACACAACAAATTGTCGGGTGTGTGTATGTATATTAGCCAGTTTGCGGGCCTGTAGGGCAATTAACGTGGGACCCCACACCGCAAATGCTCCAGTAAAATAATCAAAATTAGCCAAAAAGCAGCCATCGTTTTGGGTCTTTTAAGCTGCAATTTGTGTTCAAGGATATCTTTTTTATTCGGCTATTTATATATTAAACGATTAGTTTTATATAATTGAGAGGTCAATTAATTTTGATATTATCAAAATCAGCTAAATGGCTCAGGATTAATAAAATTAAACCTTAATATACCTATTGTTAGATCAGTAAGCTTAATGAGTGTTTATAGAAGCCTTGACTTTTGACTTTTGCCTATTTTCTACGGGTTCGATTTTAAAAGCAAAGATAAGAAAAGACAGCTTTTCGAATACAAGAGTTGGTATTTTTCAATATTTTCGTTTTTCTGCCTTAATCAAATGTTATTTAACTATAATTTTTTTCTAAAAATGTTTTTCGAATTAAATTAAGAATGGAAGAAAATATAAATTATTTACAATGTTTTCAAAAGTCTCAATAAAGGCAAAATTATTAATTAAGCACTGTAAATGATTAATCGAATTCATAGCTTTACATATGAATATGGAAATTATTCTTTTCTTTGAGTGTACATTCGTTTTGTATGCAGGTATATAAAAAAGTGCACAAAATAGATGCCAGATTTCTTGTTTAGAGCTTTGAGCTGCCTTTCAAGTCTGGTCATTCTGGTCTCTGTATTCCTGTGGATGAATTTATGTTTACCCGTCGCTCTAATTAAATTTAATATGCATATTGCCAAGGCATTTGAAGTGGCCAGACACGGTCTGAGTTCAAAGAGAAGGATGGGGCTGGATTCAGAAGAAAGGGGAAAGGGGGACGCATAGCTTGCGGTCGGCCTGCCTGTATATGGGTAATAAATTTGATTAGTAGGATTTACGGACCGGGCCAACGTTCAAATGTTTCTTGGTGCAGTAAATTTTATGCTAAACAGCAGTGGAAAAAGGTTGGAAAAAGCGGGTTGGCCAAAAGGAGGGTTGCGTTTGTGGTTTTCCGAAGTTTACTTTGCTCTTGTTTGTTCTGCCTTGCTTTTCTTTTGTCGTTTTTAGTGTTTTGTCTTTAACGTTAAACGAGTTGTTACAATAAAATGTTTATAGCATACTCTGGGGAGCAGCCTTCCCATATACTTCACGTTTTGATGAGAGCCAGACAAAAAGGAGTCCAACGTACACAAGAGATAAAAACATTTCGATCCATATGCAAAAATAAAAAATTTCCTCTTAGTTGTTCAAAGGTTTTTTGCATCCAGTTTCCATCGGTTGCCAAAAAGTATGCAACACATCAGCGAACCCATCATTAACATCATTATCGGGCCATAGAGCTCCAAAGAAAGCAGAAGAAAAATCACCAAAATGATGCCAAGGCCCAGGGGCCGAGATTATGCGATAAAGCACACACACACCCACGCACACACACTGCGGGATGTGAAGTTGAGATGGCCAAGCTATATCCTCCGATCCCGCACGCCCCCCTCCCCCGTTCCGTGCCTTTCTGCGGCTTTCAGCCGCACAGCATGCTGCCATTTTGCTGGCTGTCGAAAGCTCAAAATGAAATGCAGTCAACGCCCTAACTTCTGACACTCCCACAACCGCACACTGCACTGCGAAAAGCAAATATTTTGGCATAATCTTGCCAGGTTATTTTCAATGTGTTTCAATACCTGATCAAATTTAATAAGTTTTCAAAGCACGATAAGTCAAATAAAAGTTGATCGAATCCGAGCATGTTTTAAGTAGTGTGCAATTCTTTAAACAAGTATTTAATTGATTTTTTATGTTAAACCTCAGTAGACAAAAACATCTTACTTCTTAAATTTATGAAAAACTAATTCCGAAATAGCAATTGGCATAATTGTTTTTTTCGTAGAAGGGATAAATATTAAAACTTAAATTCTTTTTTGTTTTTTTTGATACAATTTTTTTTCATGCACTACAATAAAAAGCCAAAAATATTTGCATACAAAAAAAAATTTATTAAAATCATTTTAAATTGGTTTTTGTATGGATACGAATAAGTTTATGATAAAAAATATAAAAAAGTTTAACAAAAAAAATTAATTTTTAAATTTAAAAAATATTTGAAATTTGTATCAGTGCATGTCGGCTCTCCAGTTAAATTATGCGCATTGGGATTCTTTTGGTACTGAAATAATTTCGCTCTCTAGCTCATGTTGCCTGATGATGGTTCCCCCATCATCACGGCTTCCTTTGTGACTCTGTTTGTGGCAAAAGTGAAAAGGAATTTCTGTTTGCTTGCCAAAAGACCAAAAAAAGAAACCGCCAAAAAATGCATTTTGATTATTGGCGCTGCTGAGACATAAATCTGCATTCACAATTGCAAAGTGAATCAATTGAAGCAAGTGCAGAGTTCGAAAAATCAAATGGAATCCTACATTTTAGACCTAAAAAAATCGTGGAACAATGATATTGCTTTTATTCTAATGTTCATTCTTTATTTTATTGCAGGTAAGCCTTAAGAAAAAATCCCTTGATCTCACATCAATTAAAATCTGTTACATTTGTGAGTATAGTTAACTCTTTTTTGCGAAAATGATATTAAATAAGGTATTACGCCAATTGTATTTATCAAGTGTTAAATTAATTTCCGACATTTTTTTTAACTCTCGTTATGTTTTAATTATTGCTCGAGAATATTCGGTTACCGTTTTAATAAACTAGACATTAAGCCAACTTTCCAAGGTTGTTATCAATATTATTTGTTATTGTTTTTATCAGCAAAATTAAACAATTTGCGATTTATAGCCGCTTAAAAAAGACTTATTTGAATACTCAAATTATCTGAACATAATCAATTTACAATTTTCGACGACGACAAAATTAAAACCAATAACATTATACTGGACGAACATACAGTTTTTAATGAGAATACCGCATTCATTATTATCAATTTTCCAAAGTATTGAATAATGTGTGGGGGGAAGTAAACGAAAACTTTAATAAGCGCCACATTTTCAGTTCTGTGAAAATGCTAATAAATCAATGCAAATACCAGGGAAAGTAGCCAGCGATGGGAATGGGAAAAGGGGGTATCACAGGCGCATTAACATAACAGCTATGTGCATATTAAGTGTACATTATGTTCCTTAATCCAGACAATAAAGCACCCAACAATGCGGCGACAGCAAATAAATGAAATTATGCAACAATTTTACAACAAATCAATGAACTGCATTCGCAGCCACGAATTACCAGCCAAATCAGCCAACCATTTGGGCCTTGAATATAAATGCAATAATGGCAAACCGTTCCAGAAATTAATGAAATGAAATGTTAATGCCCAACGACAGATGCTCGATTGAGTGTATAATCGTATACGGAATTAGTTTAGAGATTAAATCGAAATTTGTATTACAGCTGTCATAGAGATTAGCGTGGGAATTTTATTTCAAGTGGTCCAATCAAAAATTGATAAGAAATTATTTATAGCTTTATATGTATGTCCATCTTAATAGCTGAATTGGCTTTATATGTTTCCATCTCATTTTCCGCCATGAACGTTGCAGACACGACAATCTCCATTAATAATGACATTGCCAGGGTTCAGAGGAGTGGCTAATTGGGAAGATATTATTATAATAAATTATACAACATATTTATTAACGCAATATTTACCGCTGGTCAGAGCCAGAAGGCCGAGTAGGAAGGCAACCGACAGGAATTTCATCTTTGAAGTAGCTAGAACAGAAGTGAGAACTGAACTGATGCCTTTACAAGTGACAACAATCCCCTTTTATACTCTGGCAATCCGTTCTTATCACTGTTTTTGTTTTTGCGGATCGGGCAAATCCCCATTATTGATTTAACGTGTGGTATTGCCCTGCACTGAATATGAAAATCCCAACGTCTCGGTTCTATCTCTCTGCGATTTCAGGTTCAATTAGCTGCAGTTAATTGCGCTTGAACTCAGCTGCAAAGCGCCTCTTCTGAAGAAATGTAGAACTCGTTTGCTAAGCGCGTTTGATTGACAAGCGTTCCAAGCAATCGTATAGAATAATACTGCGTTTGGATAAAAATATACGTCACAGCTCGTGTTGACTGCTTTTGAACTGGTTTTTTTTACGATGGTTCTTTGCCTTATACTTGATTTGCATTTGTAAGACTGGATGGACCGTTCTAAGAAAACAGAGAAACAGTCTAAGCAACAATTGGACTAAAACACTTAGAAATAAATTTCTTCAGTTTAGATAATTGCTTTGAATTTTGTATTATATTTGTATTAAAAATTTAAAAATTATAAAAATTTGAATTAAAAAAAATAGTTTTCATCAGTTCACTTTTATATGAAATGCGTTTTTGTGTTTTTAGTTTTGAACGGTTTATTTTTACTAGGGACCAACATTGTAAGGAATGTATATCTTCAAACTGGTTTGTTTAATTTGCATAAAATATATTTATTTTTATTTAGAGTAAAAATCAATACAGAAATATTTAATTTTTAATTCATTTGTATTATTCAATTAAGTAAAATAAGTGGGCAAAAATTAAATTTGTGTGATTGCTAACTTTGTTTGTAGAGCAGTATACCTTGTTTGGGCTGATTTATCGATTTTTATGTTTTGTGTTACGTTTCACTTGGATTGAACAAAGAAAAAAAGGTAGCCTCAGCAAAACTTGAAAAGGTTCTGCTGCGAAAATAAGCTAGTCGGTTAAATTAATAGATTACTGTCAGTCACAACTGGGAAATAAAGTTCCGCCTAAAAGATCGCCTCAGCCCGTAGTACCCTATTAACACAAAGAGGTGCTCAAGACATAAATATTATATTTCACAACATAGGTTACAATTAGTATTAATTTTTGGTTGATTACATTTTCCAATGGGATTAGTAAGATTTGTAAATTTTATTCTTTGTTTTGTAGCATCATCACTCCTTATTTTGGGGGTTTCACGGTGGTTGAAAAGTAATTTGCTGGGAGGTTTGCGCATTGTTTAAATATAGGACTGAAAAAAAAAATGTTAACATATGTGAGTTTAAAATTTTCCACAAAAATTTTAACTCCGTAACGAAGGATTTGTATTATGAAGACAATTCAAAATGCCATGGTAACGAACGAATATAATAGCTGCATTTAATTCAAAGTTTACTTTAAATAAAATCGTTTTTTTATGTCGGAACAATTTCACATCTTCGGCTCTGGAAGTTATCATTTCTTTTATTTTTTTTTAGATATTCACCAACTCTTTTCTCCGTCTTCCAATTGGCGAACTTGCACCATTATGAAAAACATCACCAATCTGAGGAGGTTTATATTGAAGATTTTCATAATGAACTTTTTGGATTGCTGACCGAAGTAGAACTGAGCTCTTTAAAAGTTGAATGTGTAATATATATGGATCCATATGAAGGGGTTATCGCCACTTAATTCCCTGGTGATTCTACTTTTCATCTACTTTCATATCAACTGGAGACGTCAATATGTATAAGGGCCCCTACGCAATCTGTGGCTCTATATTTACTTATAAAAAGCGTCACAAAACTCTGATTCACACAATATTTTTTATCAGGTCCCTAAGGGCATCCTGGAATGCCTGATAATAACTAATTCCTAAGAACTCTATTGACTCACAATTTGTTATTTTTGATAAGATTTATATTTATACTTTTTTTAATTTTTTTTATAAATCAGCATCTGTGTATATAAGGTAACAGCTATGTTAAAAGAAATGTAATACAAAATGTAATTAAAAAGTATGGACAATTTTCTTTTTGTTAAAAATTTTCCATTTTAGGTTTTTAGTTTCCGTTTTCTTAGCTCAATTTTTTTCTCTGTTTCTACTCTACTTCAATCTTTACCTTGCAATGAGTAACATTTCTGGAAATCAGTTGTATAATAAATAAAAAGAAAAGAGTCAATCAAATGGGTTGAGGTTAAAAGTGCATTTCAGTAGTCCAAAAGAAGACTGCAAAAAAAACCAATAATTGCATCGAAATCATCTAAGAGAAGGTGCATTTCGCCATTAAAATTCGTACATTAAAATTTGTTTACAATTTGAATACATTTTTTTTCATTTCCAATTTGGCAGGACAGTTAAAAGAGACACGAAAAAGCTCAGCGAAAATTTTTATTGCATTTTTATCGAAATTTCTTCCTTTCAACTCAAGTAATTTATTGTGTTTTGCTTTATACTGGATACCTTTTTGTGTTTTATGTACGGAAGGGAATGTAATGTAAAAGTGCAATGGTGCAGTTTTAAATACCAGCATTTGATTCTTCATTTATCAATGATGTTCTGGCCAACACAATATTTTTAAACACCTTTAAACAGGATAGCCTTATCAAAATGAAACTTTAAGAATCAAGTTAACAAACTTACATCAATAAACAGACTAATAAGCATGATTTGATGTTTGTTTATTTGAAACAAATGAAGCTTTCAAAATTAGTCAAAAACAATGAAGCCGTCTTCTTTGAGATCAATACGAAGTCCATTAGCTTAAGTCTATTAAATTAGAATGGACAAGCTTTAATGTTTCGACTTAAAAATGCAACCAAAAATGATAAATGCACTCATCAAATTGATAAGATTGCTTTATATATACGTTTCTTAGAACATATTTATATATATATAAAGGCATGTGCGTATATGGGGAATGCTGTTAGAGCTGTTTAATCAAATTACGAACCGGACAGCCCCAGACAATAAAGTTAATTAATTTACTGTGCATGGTCTTGGACTTGGATGACGTTCGGCTCTTGCAGACGCTTTGACAGATGCATTGGATGAGGTCCTGTCAGGTCCCGGAGGTGAGGAGCGTTGGCAGTAAATTAAATTTAATGGAAAATGTTTGACAGACTCTACGGCAAAGTGCAGTTAATAATTTCAGGCACAAGCCTCAACGAGAAATTGTTTAAATGTCTTGGCGTCGGCTTGAGGACATAACAAGTATGCAAATCACGAACAAAATTCGATTATAAAATATTAATCTATTAATTTGTATTCCACCCATTCAATTGAAGGCAGCCTGCCTGCGTCATTCATAAATCAAAGTGAAACCTGTTAATGTTCAATTGTGATAAGGGGTCTGCTCAAACATTTACTCGACACTTCACATTGTATAATCGAAGGCCATTTTCTGATGTCGATTTTCATGCCGCAATTTATGCTAATTTAGTTATAACCTTTCTTGAACCCAGAACATGCTTTTGGGACACTCACACACACACACACACAGACACCGAGAGAAAAAGGACTGGCAACAATCCATTAGTGGGTTACTAACGGTTCCCGGCCGCCATTTTGTGTAACAACTGCAAATCAATGCCCTGACATGTGAAAAATGGCAGCCAAAGGCGAGGTTCCATTGTTGTATGTCTATTATAATATTGCCATATTATTTTATGCATGCAACTGTGTCTATGGGTGCCTATGTGTGTATGTGTGTACGTGTGTGTGTGTGGCACACACACCCATGATTGTGTCTGCATTTTCGTAATCAAGCTCATGATAAATCGTTTGCGCAAAATTTATTGAGTTTTTGCATGACACCACCAAAGCGACAGCAGCTGCAGCCCGGAACACAAAACCCATAATAAGAATGATGCTAAAGAAGTGTTTTTCGGGTGTCTATCACATCCATTTATCCATTTTATTTTACACATTTTCTATCGCCTGGATATTCTAGTTAAAATTTTCCAAATGAAGTTGAGCATTTTACGTATTTAAATCACATTAATATTGCTCTTTTTTTTTGGATACTCTTAGATTAGAATTTCGTTGGAAAAAATTTATATATACAATGCCAAAAATGAGTCTTACAAGTAAGGAGAATTGGCATTTCCTAAAAGCAATTTAAAGCAAAGTTTAAGTTCAGTTTATAATATGCAAATCTAAGCAATTTTTCTCTCTTACCAATTTACTGAGAACAAAAGATAAAAATCAATTTTCGACTTCAGTCTATTCATTCGAATGTAAATTGCAGAATTGAATTTTCTATAGGCATGCTGTGCATACACATGTGTGTGCAAATTATTTTCTACTATTTTCAGAAGTTCTCGACTTTCGTGTAACGATTCGAATGGTGGCCATCCTTATCATGTTTGTCCAGCTGCTGCAGCAATTGCTTTGAACAAAAATGAGCCAAACTGTGTCTTAGTGTATATATGTATTTAAATAATATATATATGGTTTTGATGGTGGGCCAAATAAATGTGAATAGAAATATCCTCTCAGCTTGCATTTATATATATTTTTTGTAGTCTCCACCAAATATGATTGATGACCAAAACGATTGAATTTTCTTTTCAGAGTCGACTATTCACTATTTTTACAAATAATCAAATATTTTGCTTGTATATTTTGGTTAGCCCTTTGCATACACATTTATTTTGTATCCTTTTCGGCCATTCGGCTGCCATTCAATAGTATTACATAACTTAACACTTTTACTTTATGAAGGATTCTTTTAAGCTGTAAATTTATTCTAAAATGATATGAATATATCATTTAAAGGCCGGAATATTTTAACAAATTTTGTGGGTCATTTAAAAGTTGTGCCATCATATTGATTGGGATTAGCGCTCTTAATTTAGGTTTTCCCAGTACACAGTATATGTTTTATGGAATACATCCTAAGTACATAGTATATGTTAATGAAAAACATACAAAATCCCATTTAAATCGGTGGAGAGGCAAAGCCAAATGGTAGTAAATTAGGGTAGCGTCAATACAGATAAGTTTCTCAACAACGATGAAGCACAGAGACTCAAAAACTATCATAAATACACTCGAAACAAATG